TATTAAATATAAAATAATTTTAAGCAATCATAAAAAAAAAAAAAAAATTAAAATCTCATTTCTAGATGCTTTCTTGGAGAAGTGGAGTTACAATTTTTTAATACTTCCGATGCTGTACAAAATAGCGAAGAAGGATAAGAAGATTTTATCATATTTGAAGTTATAAAATATTAATAAGTATAAAACAAATAAAAAACTCTTACCTTATAATTGAAAAAATAAAACTCTCAAGTACTGGTTAAAGTTGAGGTATTTTTATGAATATGTATATAAATTTATCATTTTAAAAAATAGTCAGAACCGTTAAAAAATAAACTTACAAACTCAAGTTGGATGTTTTAAAAATCGCTACTAAAAACCTCTCAAAATCACTACGTTCGTTTAACTTTAAAACCGCTTACTCTTATAACCGTTAAGAAACTCTCAAGCGGACGCTAATGGTTTTGTTGAACTGGTAGAGAGAAGCGTGGTTTAGCACATGTTCGACGATATGTCTCGAAGAAATTGAAATGCACCCACTGATGGGAAATACAAGTTTGTGTGGGAGGTTGCCAGTGAAGTGGATCACAATGAATGTAGTATGGCCAAGGCTTTTAACACCTAATAACCTTTCTCAGATCATTAGGAAGCAGAAAAATCCACTAACAGCTCTCAGAATTTTCAATGAAGCCCTAGAGAGATACCCCAGTTATTGACACAGTGGTCCCGTTTATGGTACTATGATTGGGATTCTTGGAAGTTCGAATCGAATCATGGAATTGAAAGAAGTTATTAATCAGATGAAAGAGGATTTTTGTGAGCGTAAGGATAAAGTTTTTGCCACTGCTATACAGACTTCTGCAAGAGCTGGATTGTTGAATGAGGCTGTTTCGCTTTTAAGAACCTTTCAAAATTCAATTGTGTGAATTGGACAGTCTTTTGGTACCCTTTTGAGGGTAACGGTGAAAGAGTCTAAGCTTGAAGACGTTCATCAAATATTCTTGGAGAGTTGTTCTGGATGGGAAGTGAAGTCTCGAGTTCAGTCTCTGAATTTGCTAATGGATGTATTATGTCAACGTAAACGATCTGATTTTGCACTGCAAGTTTTTCTGGAGATGGATTATCAGGGTTGTTATCCTGACAGGGAAAGTTATTATATCTTAATAAAGGGTTTGTATGATGATGAGAGACTTCATGAGGCAAAGCACTTGTTGTATTCTATGTTTTGGAGAATCTCTCAGAAGGGTAGTGGTGAGGATATTGTGGTGTATAGGATTCTTTTATTTGCTTTATGTGATAAAGGGAAAGTTCAAGAGGCAGTGGATATTCTTGAAAAGATTTTAAGGGGCTTAAGGCTTCTAAGAGTTCTCGCCATTGTATTGATCTATATAATGAAAGTAGGATTGGTAAGGGTAATAAACTGCTTGATGAAATACGAACTAAAGGCTTTTGGTCATTGCTGGTGATTTATGAGGCAAAATTGGCTGCTTTGAATAAAGAAGGTATGGTTGAGGAAGCAGTGAAGGTGGTTGGAGAGGAAATGGTGAAAGGAACTTTATTGCCCACTGTTAAAAGTGTATAATATCTTGTTGAAAGGCCTATGTGATGCAGGAAATTCAAAAGTTGCAGTTGGGTATTCGAACAAGATGGTTAAACAGGTTGGCTGTGTTGCTTATGAGAAAACTTATGGCATTTTAGTGGATGGGCTGTGTAGAGATGGTGGTTTTCTTGAAGCCAGTGAGATTTTGGAAAAGATGCTGATTAATCTTATTGGCCTTCTGTTCACCCATACAATATGCTTATAAGAGGTCTTGCTCAATAGGCAGGCAATATGAAGCAATGCTATGGTTGGAGGAGATGATCAGCCAGGGGAAGATGCCAGAGCCTTCTGTTTGGAGCTGCTTGGTGGCATCTGTATGCTGTAATATGGTTGACATGAATGTTTGCTATAAGCCCTTTGAGCAGCTAAGTGTTGGTGATCCGGATGCTGTTTCATCTCCTTCTACCTGAGGTCACATAAGGTAACTGAAATACCTTTTGTAGGATCTATCTATATATGTGGTTCTAAAAGCTATACACTTCAACTATGTGAATTAATCATCAAGTTCAAATCCTCAAGATTGAGCGGAAGCTTTTCATTTTTGAGGTGGATGGGAAATATATTGGGTGAAAATCAGATTAATTGAAAAAACAGATTTCATGATCTGGATTGTGCAGTGGCCAGAGGANATGGTTGGAGGAGATGATCAGCCAGGGGAAGCTGCCAGAGCCTTCTGTTTGGAGCTGCTTGGTGGCATCTGTATGCTGCAATATGGCTGACATTAATATTTGCAATAAGTCCTTTGAGCAGCTAAGTGTTGGTGACGCAAATGCGGCTTCAGCTGAAACACCTTTTGTTGGATCATCAAGTTCAAATCCTCAAGATTGAGCAAAAGCTTTTCATTTTTGAGGTGGATGGGAAATATATTGGGCAAGAATCAGATTAAAAAACAGATTTCATGATCTGGATTGTGCGGTGGCCAGAGGATAAATTTTGTACGATATCTGTGAAAGATTCAAGTCACACTTATTCAGAAACTTCGAGGATCATCCCTATCAGTGTGGTTAGATGAGCGAAGCACTCCTTAATTAGCGGCAATGAAGGATATCTTAAAAGGTGGGAGAAGCATCAGAACCATGACTAGAGGCCAAATCAGCTGTAGAAGCCAGAAAAACAGATTTGGGATTGCTATTGAGTTGGAATTGTACAATTCCAGGATGATAAAACAATATTCTTCAGTCATAATCTAAAAGAAGCAGAAAGGTTGGATTCTTTGGTTTTTTGTTGACCAAATGATAAAATTATTGTACAGTAAGGCCTCCATATGTTTACACCAGAACAGAAACATGGTTACTTCTTAACTTGCGGAAAAAGGATACTGTGAAGAAAAAAAGGAGAGTTCTGGTGGGTTAGGCTTAGGTAGACTAATTATGGGTGTCTTTCTTCTCCTGTGTGTGTTGAAGAAGATGGTAGAACGCTATATGTTAGGGTTGGTGTTATCTTGGAGGTCTGGTTTTGGAAGCAGCACAAGGGTTTCATGTCGGTGTATTCTAAACTCTCTTCTTCACTAGATTTTGTCTTATAGACTTGATTGATAAATGAATTCATATGTTGTCTACTGTTAGGATTAATTGCCAGAGTCCTCTATTTATATCTTAATTTACTAGCCTTCATGTTATATACTGTGTCATGATCCAAGTGAAGTGAGAAATGAATTCATGAATGAGTTTTTTTTTTTTTTTTTTTTGTTATAAAGAAAAAGAAAGAATGGAAAGAGAAACAGAATCAAAGAACAAAAATAAAGAAATATTGTACATTTTCATCAATGGATACTATAATTTTATGAAAAATCTTGATTTTCGCAGTTACGATACAGTGTCTTTTCAGGTAAACAGCATAGAGCCACGATCTTCTTGAGTCCTCGTACAGTATGAGACTATTAAGTCATACTAAATTAGATGCTGATTCTGCATTGGAATTGGGATCAGAATGCTGCAAAATTTTCTAAATCTTCTTCACCACATAATTCATTTTTGGCCTGTCAACTCCTGATTCTTCAACACATTTTCATTGCCAGAACCACAAACTTTTCAAAACCTGTGAGTGTTGCATCCAACCCAATGGTTGAATGAAGAAATCCGTAAATGTTGACTAGATCTTTTTCCTTATCCATTGCTACCTTTATCTCTCTTGCAATATGATTTTCTCAGTGTATTGGTCCTCTTCCAATTAATAATTCCAACATTAGCACACCGAAGCTATAAACATCACTCTTTTCGTTCAATTTTTGCATCATGTAAATACTTAGTATCCAAATTGAGAGCTACTTTTGTTTTTGTCATTAAATGATTCATAACAATAGATACTGACATGTGCAATATTTTCCTCTCGCAAATAGTTCAAATTAAATACTATGTCACATGATATAGCACCCGAACATATTGTACTATTTCCTTAAATTTCTTTTTTCAGTAATTTTTCAGACAGTTTGTGATTAAACAAAGTAACACTATAATGTCAATGAGCACCATCTACAATAATAATGAGAGGGTATTAGAGAGGATGGAGGCTCTGAACTCTGAAGACAAAATCATATTCAAGAAGTATCTCTAGTCTTCTCCATGGTTCAAAATCTGGCCTTCTACGCATAGTGTTGAACCATGTCGCTTTTATAACAGGTGCATTGTCGTATTGCTTAATTTCACGTGTATTGTATTTCAAGGAAAGGAACATGGGCTAATAATTGGCGATAAACTAATGTGAACTCTTGTGTGCACTGGAACTTACTACGTCATATATAAAGTAAGCCATTGAAGTCTGAAGAATGATAAAATAGACTTCCTTCAAAGAATCTTTTGAAATATACTCATATATCAGTATTTGTTCATCTTGTTCCAAGCAAAATCCCAATATGACGTAGAACGTCTAGCGGATGAATTCATGGAGAAGACTGAACGTCAGAAGTCTATGTGTAAAGCCCAAAGGTTCTAAATGCGAGTTGATCGTCAGAAGTCCATGCGTAAAGCTTAAAAGTTTTGAATGAGCATGTCTCATTCAAACGGCTATAATTTTTTATTCGGGAAAAGTTACAGGGCCCATAAGATACTGTTGGAAAACTTACTTCGAGCCCGTCAATGTGGGACTGATTTAGCTAGTCGAAGGTTGTTATCGAGGTCAAAATCCACCGTTTTGGCGTGTTTCGATGCTGTTTTAGTGTTTCGTGCGTTTTTTCCTATTTTATTTCGGGTTTTCTTGTTTTAATTAATTTAGTTTTTGTTTCCTTTTGTTATTAGGAGTCTTATTAGGGTTGATTGTCACCCTATATAAACTTATTTTTTTTTTTGGATGTTGTTCAATAAATTATTCAGTTTTTACTTCTGGTTTAAGTTTCTAGATTGAGACTTGTGTTATCAGTTCTAAAGGTATAATCGTGTGCTAGTCTTGTTTATCATGCTAGCTCGCTGCGTCACAATAGGTGGACAACATTTTTATGATGGACTCTTGATAGAAGCTCAATCTCAGTTGTGAATTCTAGTGTACCTTGTAAAGACTTGTGTTAAGTACCAACACATTTCGTTTGATTCATTCTTTCCACTCCTCTTCCAACGATATGCAAGAGACCCTGCAAGGACTAACAGTATCAAAAAGGCACAACCACCAGTTGTTGTTCCAATGATAATGCCATTGATTCTTAACTTGTTTGATCCGGTATTGTTTGGTCCTTTTCCTCTGTTGTTTGGTCCTTTATTCTCTGTTCCTGTAGGTTCTCCTAAAAGATGTCACATACACAGATGCATCAAATATCAAATAAAGCAGAATTGTAATGATCATGTTACTTCTATTTGAATACCAGAAGTACCTGCAAAGTTCTGATGCCGATCAGCAATAAAGACGTAAGGCCCAAAAAAGGATCCAGTCGTAGAAGTTCCTGTTCGATTGATTAGACTTCCCCTATGCACATTGGCAGGTGGGGCTGGAAATCTTATCTGAACCACAAGAAACAGAAGTACAGTTCTTTGGTGGTGTTGAACAATTGGAACTCAGTTGGAAAACTGTACAATCTTCTCCTTCTCCCCAAGTCCTGCAAATTGGATTACCTGCAAGCCTGTAAAATCATCGAGCACTTTGTTGTCTTAGCCACAACTTGTAGAACATCTTCATTAGGTAACCACTTGAGACATTTAAAATAACAGATGGACCAAACCAATCTCAGATAGATTGAAATACAGATGCAGATATGTTAAACTGTATTTTGACAAACTATAGGAGAAAATATTTTAGAAGTCTGAAGGAATTAAGCCTTACGCTAAGCCAATGCTGCTTGCATCTGTTCTAACTGTGTAAATAGAAATTAAATTGTTCTGAAAATTGATGAACTGCAGCTGGTTGCTGTGCCTGATGCCAATATCAAGCTGCCATTAAGCTGGTTGTTTTCAAAACCCTGTAACCATATTGTGTCAATAAAATCAAGATATATTGCCATCATATGAAGACGTCTCAGGGAACTCTTTTAACATTAGGAGCTGAGGAAATCAAATGAAATTTTTTGTACTGATGAATGTGTTCTGTTGATACTAACACAAGTAATATTAAATCCACAACCTTCTCTCACAACCTCAAGCATAGCAACTCACAAATGGGTCTCACTTGCTTGCTATGAGTCCTGCATACCTATTTGCAAGCTGATCAATTGCAAACTGTCACATCGGGAGTTGTGAGAAAAGGTTATGGGATTGGGTTGTGGACCTAGCATTACTCTACTCACACAGTCTATGGTTGAAAAAGGCTGAACAAGTTAGAAGGAACTTGATCTTGAAGTTGAGTCTGCTACATCATTCTGTCGGATGAAATAGTTGATTATTCCCCTTTGAGTCTAACTAGAGGAAAGATATGACAGAAAGACATTTTCTGAAGACTCAAAATGATATATATAGGAAGTTGGAAAGTCTTCTAGAGTAGTTTTTGGGCAAGACAATCGTATCGTACTATCGTGTTTGGTAAAAATTGAATTAGAAGACTTTACATCAACAAAATATTTCAGATAATTCAATGCGTTGTTGATTCTAGGTCTATATGTGTTGCATCATCTGTGCATTGAAACTATTGTTACTCATTGAACGAAATAGAGAATATACAAAACCAAAATAACAGACAAACAAATCACAGATAGTAAAGAGAGAAAATAATATGCGCGATTTACTTTGGTTCACTCAATATAAACTACGTTTAGCTGAGTCAATATTATTGTAATATTTTCTCACCTCGCTTGTTCACAATGAATGAATTATCCTATGTTGGTATCACACTCAGTGGAACCTCCGAATACATCTGCGTAACTCATTAATGCTGAAGCAGTCGACAACTACAACACTCCTGTCCCTACAGTTCATAATATCATGTAAATAAGTTTTAGAAAAGCTTTACTGACCCTCATATCAGTGATGACTGAAGATATAGAGTTACTAAACATTTTCTACTCACAAGTTAGGTTCATGCCAGTAAGGTTGGGCATGGGACCAGTCAAATTATTGTTGGACAACAACCTGGAAAAAAGGGTTATCAAACACTCATTGTTATATACAAGAAGATGATGACAATCCTAAGGCAAGCTTATCGTCCATGGATTATTTTCAGCTTACAGCTCAGTAACATCTGAAAGATTGTTGAGATTTCAAGGAACATGCCCATTCAATGAGTTCCTATCAAGGCGTCTGTATTCAAAGTCAGAAACTTATCAGAACAAAAGAAATCTATATAATCTCATTGTCCGCTATCTTTATTAGTAATTCACACAAACATGGAATCTAGACACTCACAGGACCTCCAAAGTTTGCACAAGCCCAAGGCTGGAAGGAATCTTGCCAGTGAGTTGGTTTGCTATAGAGTAGCCTATCCCAATGATGATAAAATTGAGAGGGGAAAAATGAATGAGAATCAACAGAAGATAAGGCTTAAATTAACAATTTTCCTGATATAAAAGGAACTTTGCAACCTTACCTATCAGAAAGTGAGAAAATTGAAATGGAATAGACTATTAGATGTGCATTTTTGTACCATAGAGATGGAGTTAAAAACCTTACGAAACTTACAGATGTATCAGAGTCATGTCTGGACTGAAAAGTTGACCTGGGATTGAGCCTGAGAGTCGATTTTTTCCTAGATGACTCCAGGTGAAGGTCAGAATTTCAAAGCGATATTGAATATAGAAATCATTGCTAAACAAATTAAAAAAGAGAACTAAAAAGCCCAAAGATAGAACTTCAATCTGGAGTAGCAATGAGAAGGTACAGTAATTCACCTCCGTGGCACAAACATAGAACTTCAATCTTCAGAGAAAAAAAAGCTTACTATGGAAACTTATAGGACCCAGAATACGCCCCTATCCAATATTTTTCATACATTTTTAGCATGATTGGTCGAGATGCAAAGGGATTGCATTTTATTGGCAATTTCAGTAGTATAAAAAAAGCATTAAAGAGTCAAAATTCTTACAGGTAGACCAACCGCTGTAGAGATCCAATAGATGCAGGAATTTGTCCAGAAAAACTGCAACCAACTAGAATTCTGAAAGGTAAAATAAACAGAACATGATTTTTATAAGGATTGTGACAGAATTTTGTTGTTATCTGATGGTTTGAGAAGAATATATTTCCTTTACAAGGTGGTTAGTTTCTTCAAATTCCCAATGGATGTTGGAAGAGGTCCTGTCAGCCCTGTAAGTGAAGAGTTCATGATCAAACAAGTGAAAATGGAAGGCATATTTTTCTAACTTCCTACCATTGTCAATTGTCATTTGCACTTTACTAAAGACATTCATAAGAAGAAAATCTAAATTTGCCTGCTATATATTGGCTTATTATGTAAAAGCCATATTGTATAATAAAAATTCATGTGCAGATAGAAGACATACAGAGTTTGAAGGTCGGATAAAACTCTGATGTCTGCAGACCTTGTTTTAGCTTTAACATGTAAAAACTCAAAAGACCAATAAATTAAATGGAGATCGCACGCGGATTAGTGCACTTAATTCCTTGCCAATTGCCTCCACAAGGATCTGAACCCTCCCAATTTGGGGGTGTGTTTTTCCAGACATCATAATAATATTTTAGAACAACAACTGCATCAGAATCCAGTCAATCACCAAATATTGAAAATTGTAAGCATGCATTCACCAGAAACATAACTAATCAATATATATTAAGATCAATTCTTACTTGTAATTGTTATTAACTAATCAAAGTATAATACTTACCACCATTATCAACAGTATAGGCTGCTATGATCAAACACCGAAGGTAAACTGACAGTAGAAAGAGTTGGATTCTTGAACCCATTTCTGATCATTAAAACTATGCTTCAAATTTGAAGAAACTTCAGAATATTCTCTGCTTATATCAGACAAATAAAAGTTACCTGTTAAGAAAGTAAACCACGTTTTCTAGGAGAAAAAGATGTAAATTAAAATATATATCCCTTTGTTCTTTTTCATTTATCTCTTTTCCATTTGTTATTTGTTCAAGAGTTCATTGGGATAGAACAATCCAAATTAAGTTGAATCTCAGTCAACTTTTAGCTCCCGAAAAGCTGAAATGTGTAAAACACTTGTGGATCATAATCGTTCAAAGCAGTTAAAGTTGACCCTTTATTCATAATTACAAAGACCCCATCATCATCAAGCTTTAAGACCTTTACAAAGTTAATTAGTTTGGATAAAGACCCCATCATCATATACAAAAGTTTTCAGTACAATCCCTAACTCAAAAGTAATCATAGAACACACCCGCAGCTCAAACTCAAATACCTAGCTTCTATATGAAAGCAAGTATACTAATTATTACAATCATTTTGAAAGAACCAGTTTAGAAGACAGAACAAGAGTTTGATGCCTTTTATAAAACCCAAATCCAATTCACCATCCGGGCTGACGAAGAGTACTGGTTTCTCCCGAACAGGTATGAACTTCACAATCAAACCAATTGGCAATGTGAAAGTTGCCAATACAAAACAAGTTACCCATTGGCTCCAATTCAATCCCTCTCCAGAAGCAACCTTCTTGATCAACAACTCCACCATCAAAAACTGAAGAATTATAGTTATCCCCACTATTCCAAGAAAGAAACAGTTCTTGTGAATGCCTCTAAAAACATTCTTTCTCTCCAACTGCCTTGCATTGAACGCATTCAATAGCTGACAAAGACAAAAGGTGTTGAAAATCATTGTACCTTTTACTTGAGGACTCATTTTAAAGATGGACTTGCCTGCAAATTGTAAGATTAATAAGATAAGGATCTGGTATAAAGCTTGAGATAGAAGATTCTTCCACACAACGTTTGTTATAAGGGGTTCAGTACAACCCCTAGGTGGCGTCTTCATCAGCTCATCAGTTGGCCTTTCAGTAGCCAGCGCCAAAGCCATTAGTGCGCCCATGATGAGGTTCGCCCATACAAGTTGACTTACTGTTAGAGGAACCGCATCACGGGCAACTAGAACTGCTACAAAGTCGATGACTAGAGCTGCAACATTAAGGGTGAGTTGAAACTGAATGAATTTTTGGATATTGTTATAAACACATCGTCCCCACCTTAGAACAGTAACCACGGTTGCAAAGTTATTATCCAATATGATGATATCTGAGCTTTTCATAGCATCCTCGGACCCGCAGTTGCCCATCAAAAATCCTATATGAGCTTCTTTTAGCGCATTGGCATCATTGGTGCCATTTCCAGTCACTGCAACCACATGATTTTTATCTTTCAAACACTTTATCATCAGAAGTTTGTCAGCTGGAGTAGCCCTTGCCAATACCCGGATCTTATCAACCTTTTGCATTCTCTCTTCATCTGTATAGTCACGAAATTGTATGCCTTCTACCACCTCATCACTTTCCGCTTCGGCTCTCAACTGTAGTACTCCACAATCGGTGGCTATCGCTTTTGCTAAGAAAACATTATCCTCAGTGATCATTTTGATGCCCACTTCGGCGGATCGGCAACTTTCCACGGCTGCTCTTATCCCTGGTCGACATGGATCCTTGAGAACAACAATTCCCAGCAAGGTTAAGTCATCTTCTTTCGTAAGGGTAGTTCCATCCCGAATTTGCTTGTGCGCAAAAGCAATGCATCTAAGGCGACTAGTTGCCATGCTATCTATTATATTTTTCATTTTTCTCTTTTCATTTTCATCCATGGCGTTTATGATCCCATCCTTCCTATAATAATGTGAACACATAGCTAGGATCATCTCAGCATCTCCTTTACAGTGTACATGAACAATATTATCAGCTTTTTTCCTAACTGAAACCGCACTTTTTTTTTCCTCAGCGATGAAGGTTTCAACGGCGGTGAATTTTTGCATAACTTCTTCCTCGTTCATACTCAATTTTTCGACAGCCCACAGAAGGATTGCTTCATCGGTTGGACTACCAGTTGTGTTCAAAACAGCCTGTTGGTGGAGTAGTTCACGAAGAGTCGAGGGAATTTTACTACAGAACTCTTCTTCGATGGATTCTTGTTCAAGCCAAAATTTAGTCACTTTCATCTGCCTTGATGTCAATATGCCCCGTTCATCGGTACAAATAACTGTGGCTGAGCCCGTTGTCTCGTAAGCCGAAAGTTTCCTTACGATTGCCTTATCACCCATCATTCTTTTCATGGTACGATCAAGTGTGAGATTTACCACCAGTGGCAAACCTTTTGGACTTGCGGCTAACCAAACGGCAACTGAAGCTTTAGCAAGGCACGCAATTGACCTCAAAACATCATCGAAATCAGTTTTACTACCATTTGACTCCTTCTTTCCATTCTCATGATCTTTTGTTTTCCCAGTGAAAAAATGAACCAAAAGATATAAAAGAACCAAGAAAGCCGCTGAGAGACCTACTCTTCCAATGCAGGAGCTTCGTTTGTCAACCCGAGCTTGTAATGGAGTTCTTTCGTTGGATTCAGCGCCTATAATAAAATTGCTAAGCGCAAAAACCGTTACAATCAAAAGGAGAGCTATAAAAATACTTCCACCTTCATACCAACCATCTTCCAACCCCTTTTTTTTAATCCCAAAACCGAGAGAGGCTGCAGACCATACGAGAAGGCAAACTACGGTGGCGTCTTTGAAAGCCTCCATAATGAAACGTAAAAAGCCTTTTGGCGGTAGCTGAGACTGAGACCTCCGGCTAGGATCTTGATTGTTGCCGCTGGCCAAGGCATATTCCAAGCCATTTGGCAGCCGCATGTCGCACAAAAGGGATGAGTCGGGTGGTGTCCTGAGAAAGTACGGACACCTAACAGTTGCAGAGACAGCTGACAGTAGGGGATTTGGGTTGAGAATGAGATGTTACTGGTTGGAGAGAAGCAGGCTTTAAATAAAAAAACTGAAGAGAGAGAAAGAAAGAATTGGTAAAATAGAAGACAAACTGATTAAGAAAGGGTCGGACGAATATTATTTTTTTAAGAGAAAGAATAAATACACAGTTTACGGTGGAATTCATATCCCACATAGCACACGAACAACATACCCAGCTTTTTTTTTTTCTTTTTTTTTTTTTCTGATAATCAGTTATCTAAGTCTATTTATACATACTTTAATTAATTATATATTTAATATTTAATAACACTGGATAAGCTGACTCCAATTTATATATCTCTACGTGTCTTCCCTTCTAATCTCAATCTATATCATATTTACTGAATTTCTTTTATACCATCAATGTACAAATTGATACTATTTGACCCCATTGAAATTCTAAAATTACAAAGAATAGGTATATATTATATAGTAATTAACAATTTTGTTAAAAATTACTCATATTTTATTGATTCTAGGATTCTAAAATACTGGCTACCCCCATGGATGTAACATAACTATTTAATTAACGTATTACTTAAATATCGTAAATATCTCTATAAATTCTTTTAGGAATATGTATGATATTGAGGTATAAAGTTAAGTACCTTAATAAAAGATAAAGTTAAACATGTATATTATTATTAATATATTGGTCGAATAAAATGCTGTCCCGAATATATACTCGTCCCACCTACATATATTTTTCTGAAAATAAATAAATAATTAAATCTACAGTTTTTGTGTTGAACCAAGACAAGGAATCTTATCAAATAATGTCAAAATAATAGGAGAAGCAGTTTGTATAGACTGGTACTTCTACTATAATAAAGTTTTTATTATTTATTTTATTTTAATAAAAAAGTTGACAATATCTATAAATTTCTTAGTAAAAGGCTCGGCCCATATGACAAAACTGCAACTCACTCAAATAAAACAGACAATGCCGGCCCCGATTGTGACTTTTAATTATCTTTTTGTCCACTCAATTCCATATTCCACTACGACTTTTTATCACCTTTTATTATTATTATTTTCTTTTTACTAAAATTTCAATTTTCATTTATTAATTACCAAAACTAAAAAGCAGCAAAAGACATGAATTGCCTCCAAGTACACATTTAACATACTCGCTCCACGTGGATACTTCTAACTTATCCCAACCTGTGATCATTATTCATTAGTGCGTGATATCACGTGTTGAGTGAGCGCGTGGAGGTTGAAGCTTTGAAAAGGGCACGCTAAAACTGGGATTATTATGACGGAAAAAGAAAGGTACGAAAAAACGAAGTCTCCGCAAAAGAAATAAATGAGAGAATCAGTTACAAGTTAAATAAATAAATAAAATGAGAGAAAAGATTTGAGAGAGAGACAGAGAAAACAAATAAATAGAGAATTCTAAGATGAAACAAGCAATCATGACGGTGTATTTTCCGGGAAATTGAGAGAGTATTTGGGATGAGATTTTCTTAGTAACCAAACAAAGACGAGGAAAATTTCTTTTTCGTGTTTGTATTATCTGAAATTTTGACGAGAGGAGAAGAGAAGAGAGAGAGAGAGAGAAAATGATTTCGTCTTTATCTTCGTCTTCGTATTCAGCTACAGTTGCTGTGGAGAAGGCGACGAGCGAGCTTTTAATAAGTCCTGATTGGACTATGAACATCGATATCTGTGATTCAATCAATTCTCATCAGTGGCAAATAATTCATTACGGTTTTGATTTTATTTTTAATTTTTTATAATCTAGGTTTTTGTTAATTAAATTTTGAAAATGAAGAACAATATTGTTTCGGTTGATGATTATGGTACTGCTGTTTATTTTGATTCTATCAGCTGTTTGTTTTTGTAATTTTTACTGTTTTATGATGATGAAGACTGATGTTAAAAGCTTTTGATAGACTTTTGTTTAGGTTGACTTATGTTGTTTATTTAATTTTCTTGATTTTCTTAATTATGCTTGAATTGGAGGATTTACATGATGAAACTATGTAAATTATAAATTGAAGGAACAAATTTATAGTTGTTGTTAACAAATCAAAGTATAATACTTACCATCATTATCAACAGTATTGGCTGCTATGATCAAACACCGAACTGACAGTAGAAAGAGTTGGATTCTTGAAGCCATTTCTGATAATTAAAACTATCAACAGTAAAACACTTGTGGATCATAATCGTTCAAAGCAGTTAAAGCTGAATAACTTGAAAAAAAGTTGACCCTTCATTCATAATTACAAAGACCCCATCATCATCAAGTTAAGACCTTGAAGAAACGTTTTCAGTAGAATCTCTAACTCAAAAGTAATCATAGAACACACCCGCAGCCCAAACTCAAATACCAAGCTTCTATATGAAAGCAAGTACACTAATTATTACAATCAATTGGAAAGAACCAGTTTAGAAGACAGAACAAGAGTTTGATGCCTTTTATAAAACCCAGATCCAATTCACCATACGGATTGACGAAGAGTACTGGTTTCTCCCGAACAGGTATGAACTTCACAATCAAACCAATTGGCAGTGTGAAGGCTGCCAATACAAAACAATATAACCATTGCCTCCAATTCAATCGCTCTCTAGAAGCATCCTTCTTGATCAACAACTCCACCATCAAAAACTGAAGAAGTATAGTTATCCCCACAATCCCAAGAAAGAAACAGTTCTTGTGAATTCCTCTAAAAACATTCTTGCTCTCCAACTTCCTTGCATTGAACGCATTCAATAGCTGACAAAGACAAAAGGTGTTGAAAATCATTGTACCTTTTACTTGAGGACTCATTTTAAAGATGGACTTGTCCACAAATTGTAAGATTAATAAGATTAGGATCTGGTATAGAGCTTGAGATAGAAGATTCCTCCACACAACGTTTGTTATAAGGGGCTCAGTACAACCCCTAGGTGGCGTCTTCATCAGTTGGCCTTTCAGTAGCTAGCGCCAAAGCCATTAGTGCGCCCATGATAAGGTTCGCCCATACAAGTTGACTGACTGTTAGAGTAACCACATCATCGGCAACTAGAACTGCTACAAAGTCGATGACTAGAGCTGCAACATTGAGGGTGAGTTGAAACTGAATGAATTTTTGGATGTTGTTATAAACACATCGTCCCCACCTTAGAACAGTAACCACAGTTGTAAAGTTATTATCCAATATGATGATATCTGAGCTTTCCTTGGCATCCTCGGACCCGCACTTGCCCATCAAAAATCCTGTATGAGCTTCTTTTAGGGCATTGGCATCATAGGCGCCATTTCCAGTCACTGCCCCCACATGATTTTTATCTTTCAAACACTTTACCATCAGAAGTTTGTCAGCTGGAGTAGCCCTTGCCAATACCCGGATCTTATCAACCTTTTGCATTCTCTCTTCATCCGTATAGTCACGAAATTGTATGCCTTCTACCACCTCATCACTTTCCGCTTGGCTCTCAACTGTAGTACTCCACAATCGGTGTGCTAAGGAAACATGTCCTCAGTGATCATTTTGATGCCCACCTCGGCGGATCGGCGACTTCCACGGCTGCTCTATCCCTGGTCGACATGGATACTTGAGGACAACAATTCCCAGCAAGTTAAGTCATCTTCTTTCGTCAGGGTAGCTCCATCCTGAATTTGCTTGTGCGCAAAAGCAATGCATCTAAGGCGACCAGCTACCATGCTATCTATTATACTTTTCATTTTTCTCCTTTTCATTTTCATCCATGGCGTTTATGGTCCCATCCTTCATAATAATGTGAACGCATAGCTAGGATCACTCAGCATCTCCTTTACAGTGTACATGAACAGTATATCAGCTTTTTTCCAACTGAAACCGCACTTTCTTTTTCCTCAGCGATGAAGTTTCCAAACGGCGGTGAATTTTTGCTTCACTTCTTCCAAGTTCATACTCAATTCTTCAGCAGCCCACTGAAGAATTGCTTCTTCGGTTGGACTACCAGTTTTTTTCAAAACAGCTTGTTGGTGGAGTATTTCACGAAGAGTCGAGGGATTTTATTATTGTAGTCTTCTTCGATTGATCTTGATCAAGCCAAATTCAGTCACTTTCATCTGCTTGGATGTCATATGCCCGTCCATCGGTACAAATACTGTGCTGAGCTCATTGTCTCGTAAGCCGAGAGTTTCCTTACGATGTGCATATCACCCATCATTTGTTTCATGGTATGAGCAAGCGGGAGTTTACCACCAATGGTAAACCTTTTGAGACTTCCGGCTAACCAAATGGCGACTGAAGCTTTAGCAAGCACCGCAGTTGACCTCAAAACATCTCGAAATCAGTTTTACTACCATTTGACTCCCTTTCCATTCCACTTTTTGATTTCCCAGGGAAAAAAATGAACCAAAAATGTAAAAGAACCAAGAAAGCCGCCGAGAGACCTACTCTTCTAATGCAGGAGCTTCTTCGTTTGTCAAACCGACCTTGTAATGATTTCTTTCGTTGATTCAGCGCCTATATAAAATTGCTAAGCGCAAAAACCGTTACAATCAAAAGGAGAGCTATAAAAATCTTCCACCTTCATACCAACCTTCTTCCAACCCGTGTTTTTTTATCCCAAAACTGAGAGACGCTGCAGACCATACGAGAAGCAAACTACGGTGGCCTCTTTGAAAGCCTCCATAATGAAACGTAAAAACCCTTTTGCCGGTAGCTGAGACCTCCGGCTAATGTCTTGGTTGTTGCCGCTGTTGCATCAGTACTGGATTTGTTTCCTGCAGACCAGAGGTCAAGGCCACGAATTCATCTCGTTCAAACATCCGGACATACCCCAAGCCATTTGTCAGCACCATTTTGTTAGTGTTTGTCGCACAAAAGGAAGAGTCGGTGGTGTCAACTGTCAACTGTCAAGTTTTTTCTTGAGGAAGTACGTACACCAAACGCTGCAAACAGAAGTATTAAGCTAGCTGACGTAGGGTATTTGGGTTGAGATGTTACTGGTTGAGAGGTATATGGGATGTACATGTACAAAATTACGAAAGACCAAAAATCATCGCCTGCTTACTCTTTCCT